TAAATAAATAAATAAACCAAGCAGAAGTACAGACAAACCTAGCTTCTTCATCCTACAAGTTGCTGGTTGGCAGCATCAGTTCTATATAATCACAAACCTCAGTGTTACTAAGAGAACACTGTACATCCTCAATCTCCTTTGCCAAGCACAATGCTGTAAGCAAGTTAAACATCTTTGGGAAAGAATAGCCCTTTACCTGAGTACAACCATAAGTGACAGAAAAGACAACCATATGCACAAATAAAATGAAGCATTGTACTAGATCAAAGGATGGTTGATACTTCATGGCTGTGTTGAAATATCTTATATATGCATTTTAGCTATGTTTTATTTAATTTTTCAGCTTGTGTATATAGTCTTGAAGGGTTAGACAAATTCAGCAGGCAATATCCAATGTTTCTTTTCTGCTAGCGGAACCAACAGCTAGTGGGCCCAACAGGATACAGGCAGTTCTTGAAGCAGTCAGAAACAAGCTATAATGCTCATTTCTAGAATGAGGCAGGAGTGCTTCTTCTAAGGAGTGTTTCTGCTCATGTCTAGGGTTCCTTTGCAGAGCACTTGTTCTTGCTCCATTAGAGGTTAATCCCACAGGTACAATACAGCAAGCAGGGGAGCGGCAGCACTCTTGCAAACCATCCAATACACCAGGCTTAGTATGATATACTATGATATACTAAGTCTGAATGTAAGTGAAAATAACTAGAGTTGCTACCTGATTCAATGACTTTTGGATAATTAATCATATGGCATTTTATTGTTTAATAGATTAACCAATTAAGTCTGCATACAATTTATATGAATATATCATTTGATTTAATCAATTTCAAAGTTTTTAGATAATGTAGGCAGGTGTCATGGAACACAGTATGCTGGAAGCCCCATGATAGAAATGGGAGGACTCTATTTTCCCATTTTGCAGAGCAGGCAAAAGCTCTTCTAGAATGACACCTGGTACCTGTGGTTCTTGTATGTACTTGTATTTTTTTTTTTTGAAAAAGTCATTTAAAAATTATTATTATTATTATTTTAGAAAACCTCTGTCTGAGTAAGTGGAGATACATTCTCAGTTAAATAACAATTTTTAATAAATGATATAATGAATTAACTGACTGCTGTGGCCCTAAAATAAGTAAGACTATACATTTCCATTGAAGCAGAATGAATCAATGAACAGAGCTCTGGATTAAAAATTAGGTTCTTTTTTATTATTTTTTCCTTCTGTAAAGCTATAACAATATTCTTATTATTCTATAATAAGTAAATGAAGAATTTTATGGAAAAGTTAGTGCAAAAATATATCTTCTGAATTAGTGCATATTAGATAGGGTAATTTATTATTTATAATAAATCTTGTAAAGTGAAATTAAAATCAGCTGGGAGATTTTTAGAGGCTCACCTCTAAGATTATCATTAAGAAGTCCTGCTGAAGTCAGAAAGATCTGCTAACAAATAAATAAACCTACAAGAAAGATGCATATATTTTATCATGAGGTTGGTTATAACTAATCCCAACTTTCTCTGGTTGGTAACCTGTTATATATTGAACTTTGCTGCACTTGCTTTGTGTCTTGCCAAATGCAAAAAGGACCATGTACTCATATTCCTTCCACAAATTGCAATACACAGTGCATGGCACACATATGCAAGAAACATTATTTATTTCCAAAAATATGAGGCAGCAAAACTTGTCTAGAAAAGCTTTCTTTTCTAGGATTTTCAATAAAGATCCATTATCCATCATGCCTTTCTGCTTTGAGCTGTCGACACTCAAGCAATACCAAATTATATGTAAATCTCTTCCATTCAGAATCCCTATGGTTTCTCAGGATATATTTTCAAATGTTTGGATTTTTTGCTTAAGTCTTTGGCCTTTCCTGCTTTCCTTTCGCCAGCCACTTAACAGGCTTGCTCAAGCAAATATGCCAAAATACTTTTCACTCTGTCAATAGCTAGTCAAAAACTCTGCATGGAAAAAATAGAGAGATGAAAATACTATAAAGAATGAGGAAATTAGGAGCATGGCAAGCTTTCAATCTATTATATCAGAGCCAAGTTTGCATGGTGAAATGACATACCCTGCGTCTCTATAATTAGCTGCTAAGAAAACACAACTTTTTCAGCTTCCTACAAAAGAACATAAATTGCAACTGCTATGCTTATGGAAAACCCTGCAGCAAATGTTTGCTTCTGATGCAACTTTTGAGAAGCCTTAAAAAAAAATTCAGCCCTACATATTATTCCCCCACTTCTCTACCAACACCAAAACTTATGTAACAAGGTAATACCAACAATGAGAAACTGCATGATAAAATCCTGCCCAAAAGTGAAAAATGCTAATTTTGTCTCATTTAGCAGCTGGATACAGAAATGCTCATTAGTTTTAAGAGGGTTAATCCTTTTAACTTTTGCATATTGATATGCCAATTATGCCTAATTGTACAAGAGGCATCAGTCAAGGTAATAGTGCATAAACACATGAAAGTTATTAAGTACATCCCAACATGTAATAAAGTAGGTGTTAATTGGTAGCTGAGTTCTGCAGGCTATTGAGGTGGATAATTCATTGAGAGATGGATCACTTGTAATTTCTCTACATAATTCCTTTTGCAGTCTCATGCTGTGATGTTTTCATGCTTGTCAAAAACAACTGCAGCCTAGTGCCTTTTGTTAAACACAGCCAATAAAATATGTTAGGCATCATTAAATATACTTAACTTTTAAACTTTTTCAGAGGTACAGTTCTTATGGATAATACATTATTCTGTTTTGAAATAAATTACTGTAAACATTATTTTAACTTTCTAACCAAAGAACATCTCACTTATGGGGTCCTGAGTGCGTGCTTTAAAATACTACATGCAAATGTGTCACAGGCAAGTGATAGTTTTAAATTGGAAAGTAAACAGAAGGAAATGAATGTTTCATCAGTTAGCGCATTGATATCTCAAAAGGGCCCCCTCACCTCTGTCCTGAAATGGTATACCAGTTCCTCTGAACGAAACATTCACTTCTGCCAACTGAGAGGAGAATAATTAAAATCACGTCTTTGCTGAGCTATGCTGATGAAACGGCTGTGGTTAATTCTGTATTTGAACATGGGGGTAAAAATAGCAGGTTGAAAAAAAAAAACCCTCACAACTGCAGGAAGCTTATTCCATTTACTATCTCAGTTAAGAACTGAATATTTCATATGGGCTCATCATATCAGCAGAATAGCCAATTAATGGTTCACATGGCTCCAAAAAGAGGAGCAGGATGTGTGTGTGTGCTGGAGAACCCAGAATAGTTGTTGCGCTTTGACTTGTTTGCTGTGAGCTGAAAAGAGAGCTAGAGTCCCAAACAACAAGCATTGCATAAATAATTTTGCAACATCATATGGCCTCAGCTGCAAGTTGCAGGCACTATGGAAGAAAATTAACCAAGGGAGGCTCATACCAATCAGTTTGTTTAGTAGCACAGGATGAGTAAAGGGGAAGAACATGACTGGCAACAGAGTTCACCTCCAAAGCATTAGTGTTTAGATCTTTCAGAAGGGACAAAAAATAAAGAAACCCACGGCCATTTGGCTCTCTCTGCTGTTTATGTGTTACAGACATTGCAGACTCTAGGTTTAAACTATTATTAATTCTGCCGAGAGGAGTAGTATTTTATAACACGCATTGATATTTTCTTCTGACTAGGATGTGCTTGTATTTTTCTTTTAGCTTTCTCAGTGTGATAGAGATCAGAAGCAGGATCTTATGTTGTAGTACACAAGAGTATGAAGCAGACACTGATTCATGATGTACAGGCTTCTCCTTGTTTTATAGGTCAACTGCATGCATCAGAGGATCAAAGCACTTTAATATCGAAAATGCCAAAGAGAACGTGCCAGTGAATGAATGGGCTACTGCTGGCCACAAACATTGTCCAGAGCTGCCTAATGGAATGGCTATTACAGTAGGCTACACCTGTATAAACTGCCCATGTCTAAAGATTGCACACTGGCCCACCATATGCACAGTTGGTTCAGACATGTTTGCATGTCATGATAATCTACCTTGGCAATAAGCCATGATGGACTGGCTGCTGCCAAACAACCAATGTTTCCCAGCATTAACAGCAGGGTGCCCAAGTTATCTTTCACTGCCATCATGACTGCTAGCTCTTTTAACTTGCCACAGCTAGTTTGGTTTGCTTTGTTTTCTGGAAATCACAAAAGCTGTGAAGTCAGTTTTTGCACTCCTAATTTTGACAGCTATGCACATCTTCTTCAAAGTGCCCCAGAAACATTTTAGAGGGGCTGCTTTTTTCCAACCCCCCCCCATTTTTTCAAAGTACTACCATATTTTTACCTGCACTTTGCAACTACAGATGTTTGCAGTTTTGCAAGTGCAGGAATAGGAAGGCTTAGGTGTTCCATCAGGGGCACATCTAGGGAATTGCTCCAGAGAAGCTGCAAGTAAGTTTATTTCACCTTTGCTTGCATATGACAGTTGTCAAAGGTAAAGCAGTCAGTTGTCAAAGGGAAAGCGGTCAAATGTAACCAAAGGAGTAAGTGGTCTTAGCTCACAAAAAGGGAGTGGTGCATCATGAACTCCTTTCAGGACCAAATACTCATTGGTGTTTTTGGATTCATGTGTTCCAAAAGAGCCCTCACTATTGCACTTGTTCCTGTGATTCCACTACTTCAGGGACATGCAAAAGTTCACCCCATTTCTTGGAACAATTACCTTTGACAGCTGTCAAAGGTAAAATTTTAATTTTAGAATGGGGATTGGCTTAAAAAGGAAGTTTGGGAGAGGATTCTAAACAGAGGGTAAATGGAGTCTATGAGGGCACAGGTAAGTGAGTACAGATTCAAGAACATAAAAGCCATGCTGAATCAAACTAGTCCAGCTTCCATGAAGAACAGGCTACCCTAAATCTGAACAGGAAATTGAGTAAATTTCAGAACCTTTCAAAAATAACATTAATGAAAGAATAACAGAGAAAGAAAATCAGGACAGAATAGTACTTACAGGTTCAGTGGCTTTCACATTTTCAGACAGTATCATGGATTTGCATTGGCTCTGTCTGTCCCTGGGGCTGTTAGCACTTTTGATCCTCATCTGAACAGCACCTTTGCATTCATGAGATGAATGTAGCTTTTCAGCCTTGATATCTGAAGACGCTAACTGTTGCATGATGAATACGTCAGCCTGAAAAAATATAACAGCTGATAATGTTAAACTATGCATTAATCCAGGCTTTATTCCAGTTTATTCAATAAAAATGAAATAGTGGAACTAGATGGATATCTCTAAATATCAGGACATCTTATTGGTGGGATCAATAATCTAAGACACCTTATTACTCACCAACTCATCCTAACTGGCTTGAAAGGAGCACAGTTTACATAAAAGATTATCCTTATCTCAAAAGCCATTCTTCTGTCATGTAATCTTTCAATAACCTTTTCGGTACATCCAGCTGGCAGGCTTTCTAGTTTGCCTTTGGTCTTCCCATACTCACATTTCAGACAGAGATCTCAAATTTATTCATGGGCTAAAAATGAAGTGCATGGCCTCCAATTGTGCTAGAAGGACCAATGCAGGAACTTAAATCCAAGACTGTGTCACTTACTGAGTGTTTAAATTAACTTATACCATTGTTTATGCATCAACTAAAATATCATGGGGACATGCAACTAACAATAGCCAGTACAGTACAGAGAAAGGTGTGTCGGTGTTGGGGTAGGAAGGGGAGGTTTTGGGTTTGGGATTTCACTCACACAGCAACTACAGTGGTGCTTGCCCAAAATCCAAACTCAAACCCAACAATACTTCAAATGCAGGAGATAAAGGGACTGTTGGCTATAACTTGTCAAAAAATTGAGCTTAATTGACTTGTGCTTCCACATTTATTTTTAAGTTATTGTGAATCTGTGCCAATTACAAGAATAAATCTCTCACTATTCCAAAAAATAAAAGCACCCAGAGATCCTAGACTATTGGACAATAAAGTTTTTAAAAAATCAATAAATAATTGCCTTGGATTACTCCTTCAGAAGGTGGCAATATGGGGACTAAGTAATTCTGTCTTTTATCTTTCTCCTACCTTCCTAGCTGATATGGCAGCAAAACAGGTGCCTAGACCCCTGGGAGGTACATGCCAAGGCTTACTGTTGCAGTTCCAGATGATAGGGAAAGGGAACAGGAAGATAAAATGGCAGAGACTCTGTCTTCCTGCCAATGTAACAATAGTAGGAACTACCACCTGCTGAAAGGGCTTTATAGAATTATGGAGGCCTGCAGAATGGATTGGATTCTTTTGCACTTCCAATCTTGTCATCAGGCACATGATGGGATCTGAGTTCCCTCATAACTGAGAAGTAAGCTTTTTTTTTTTTTTTTGGCAAAGTTTCTTAGTTAGCCAAGCCTAGTTACAACTTGTGCCCTAGTCAATTTGCCCATCACTCTTACTGGTCAGCCTTGACCAGACACTAACCAACCTTACACAGTTGTTGATAGGGTAAAATGGTAAAATCCAAGGAGCATCTCAGATTTTGGATTTTGGCAGCATCCAAACATGTAGACTAGATGCAGTGCATTAAAGCCATGGTGGGCTGCAGTACATTTATTTATTTTTATTTATTTATCTTAATATTTATATACCACCCCGTTCCCATAGGCTATGTGCAATTCACAAGAAATTAAACCAACAGTGAGTGATATTGAGTAATACAACATATTAAATAGAAATGACATGAGAACTAATCTGAGAGGGCCTGTTGAAAGAGATATATTTTAATTCCCTCTTAAGGTGGGAATCTGGGAAAGCAGATGTCAATTCTGAGACACAGATCATCCACCAGAGTGACCAAAGTGGTAGGAGTTAGTTGGGGCTGCCTGGAGTGGGAGAGATACTGCCTTCTTGGTCACTTTACAAAGAAACGGTACATTTGAGACTGGCCTAAAGTTGCTAAGGTCCAGGGTGTCCAGATTAGGTGCCATGCGGAGGGGCAGTACAATAGCCTCCTCCAGGTAGGCAAGAAACCTGCCCTCTCTGAAGGAGACACTGATGACAAGACATCGTAGCTCGCTGAGTGCTTCCACCCTGGACTACCAGCCAGGATGGACACAGATTGAGAGGTCAGATGATTTTTCTCACCAGTCCAAGTAGCCTGTCGATATCATCAGAACTTACAAACTGAAATCAATCCAGATGACCCCATTCAAGGAGTTGTTGGATCAAGGATGTGATTATGGAGGTGTCAATCTCCACCTCCATAATCACATCACGCTTGGTTCTAATCTGCAAAATGGTTGCTAAAAGTGTCACAGTGAGCAACTGATAGTGCTAAAGATAGGTTAGAGGGCATCAGGGCTTGATATAAACCCCTTTCCACCCTAAGTAGCTCTGTTGGGGATGCATTTGTGGATGCAATACAAGCCACCCAATAGAAGCGAAGATGCTTTCTATAAAGCGTTTTGTTCGAAATGAATCTTGATTTTTGCCATGGATGCTTCAGGCATTGTCCTTCCTGCTTCATATATAATCACTTCTCTGTATTCCAGGGAGCTCTTTTGGAAGCAGGATGGAGAGGATGCTCAGGAGCAATTGTGTCAACTTCTGATTCCAAGTTATGACCAGGGACAGGATCACTGGCAGAACTGGCCAAAGGACCCCCTAGGACTGACTGGAAATCTATTGGCTCCATAAGTCTTCAGGGATGTACTTTTCGAATAGGTCCATCATTTCTATGGGGGCACAAAAAGGGGGCTGTGATCTTAGACTTGGTAATGACCTGACCAAGCCAAGACTGAGGATACAGAAAAACCAGCGGTTGAGAGCTGAATATAGCATCGAATGTGCGCCCAGCATTATGTGTGGATCCAGAGACCAACTGGAACAGGCCCATGGCTGCAACGGTTGACATGAATTCATGGGCAACCCCAGACAAACTGGATTTGAAAGCAGCACTGAAATTCCCCTAGATTAACAATCTGGGGGAATCCAACACCAGTTCTGAGACCAGTTCTGTAGTTTGGCCAGATTCTGCTAGGCAATGAGTCCATAGACCAGAAGAATCCCCAGACTATCTCTGGACCCCAACCTTGACCATGCACTTGATGCATTTCAACTCTTTACTATGGTACCTGGCCAAAGGAATGGTATTCTTACATGGCAAGAATTGTGCATGGTACATGCAAGTCGCCATTTTGTACAACTAGCCCAAAAGCTGTGAGTTGTCTTATCATCCAAACCCAGTGAAGGTGACTTAAGGTTATACATGAAAATGTCCAAAGTTATCATGTCAGAGAAATGACTTGTTTTAAAAGTCTTAAAGGGAATAACTTGAAGATATTAACACAAAGGTAATCTCAGAAGAAGTCATCTCTGTCAGAATGTGCAATGCTGACATATATTTAAAATTTCAAATGGATATAGGAAAATGTATTCCCCTGAAGTAAAATATGACAAATATATTGTATTCTAATAAGCAAAACAAATGTGATGGGTAAGGTATCCATAGCACAAATATTAAGCATGTTCTCAGACCAGGACCTTCAGAATGCTTATCTAGTCATAGACACATAAAGCTTTTTGTAGCTTCAGCCATTTCACTTATATCGTGGACATGATATTTTTCCTATGTGGGACCTTGGGCTATTAGTAAATCTGTCAGATCTCATAATATAGAGTTGTCAGGCCCTATTTGTTTTAGGTGGGAAATCTATAAGGAAAGCCTAAGAGCTGCAGGAAGTATGGACACTTTGATGCAAAGAATGCCATCTTCTGGATGAAATGCAAAGGGACATTTTCCAAGTATTTGCCAGCAAGTTTCTATCTATACCAGCTGTTTTTCATAAGATATGTGCACCAAAAGCTGGTGTTATGTCCTGGTGCTAAATCCTGCATTCTCTCCTGTTTAAGTTTTCATTGCTTAGATTGGCACCTCAAAAGATACCAAACATCATGTCATTTCTCACTGTAGTTTGTACCCATCATGGCTCTTCTTATTGCTATTGTAGTACCATTCTTATTTCTGCAAATAGCAATTATTCTATTTATAAAATTTCATTTATAAAATTATCAGCCCATTGGTTTGCACTCAAAACATAATCAAGAAAGGGACTCAGTTTTTGGTGTGTGTGTCTCTCTCTCTCTCATTCTCTCTCTCTGTTTGTGTGTCTGTGTAGCCAGCCTACAGAGAAACTCTCAGTTAGGAAAGAGAAGTGACACCACCTCCAAGAAAAACTGAAACATCAAATAAAGGCCTGTAAACTGGTTCTGAGATCTGTCTTATTATCATCTGTTTGGTGAAGGATAGAGGCAGTAATTTCTATTGTAATTCTCATAAAGAATCTGCACAGATTTTCTGCTATGGCTGGTTCAGCCTCAGTGCTGGGGCAAGTCAAACTGCAACCCAGTCAACGGGCATGGTGAAGAATGGTTGAATCAGTTGAGCAAGAGTCCAAGCAAGAATAGCCAGAAAACAAGTAAGTGTCTGAGTACAGTGTTACCTATCAAGAAAGAAGGCTCCTTATTGCAAGAGAAGGCTCTAATCTAACGTATGACCAAGGTCAAAGCACAAGTCAGGTGTCCACCACAAAAGCAGTTCAAGGAACAGGATCAACCAGGGGTCCAAAGGTCAGCAGGACAGAAGAACATCATGAAACAAATAACTGGGGCTAGTAAGAGCCTATAGAAAGCCAGTCCATTGCAGCAGCACACTTTTCCCCCTAATGTACACTGTCTTCAGATCTTGACAGATATAGGATGGGACACAAATGTTTTACATACATACATATATGAGCATACATGGTGGCAAAACAGCTGCCCACAGGATACTGCAAGCTACAAAACTCCTGCCTGCCCAAGCTCCTCAGCAAACAGCTCTTACAGGCATGCCACATTTATTTTATTTATTTATTAAAACATTTTTATGCTGCCCCATTCGCCGAAGCCTCGCCACATGGGTTAATGGTTGTTTGGAAGCCAGGAGGTCTCAGCTGAAAGCTTCCAGAGCCTTACCAGGGCTCAACTGCAGTTCATCACAGGCTCCCTGGCAGCAGTTCTACCTGAAGGGCCTTGCTCCTTGTGGGAAACTTACTCTTCAGGAGCCTTTTTCAGTAAGCAGGCCTCCTTCACCTGGTCATGGCCTTTGTCTGTACATTATGTGTTCTCCTGGGCTGGGTGGTGCCTCAGCATCCCCTGTTGATTGGGAAGCAAAGCTTTCTACCTTTTGAGAGGTGGGGTATGAAGCCATCTTCCTAAGGCCCAGGAGCTTCTTGGTTAGCCTCAGGGTTGTTGAAGTGTCTTATTCTCCAGAAACATCTGACTTAAGGTCTGGATCATTCTCAGGAGCATCTGATTTGGGAGGGTCCAGATTTCTCCCTGGGTGTGAGCATAACACATCTACCAGGCTGTAAACCAACTTCATGTTTGGGAGGAAAGGGTACCTGATCCTTCTTTCCTCTACTCTCCCATGCCTATAAATGTTAAAGTGGTCCATCAAAGAATAGGCTCAAATGCAAGCTGGTTTTACCCAGAAAGATTCTCATAAACTGGGTTTCTCCATACATATGGGTCTCTTCCATCAGTGGAAGAAAGAGGCATACCCTGCCACTTTGCTAGACAAAGAAGGTTTTGAAAATTTCTCATTTAAGAAAACCTGATCAAGTAGCAGGTGATGCAAAAGTTCTCTGCTTATGATCCTAGATTGCTGATACCAGTTAGTATTGACCATTCTGGCTAGTACAGGCAGACAAAAGTTTGATGTCTAAGGCAGCTTCCCCTGTTCCTGTGTGGATCATCAAAACTGCAAATACAGTTTCTAAGCACAGATTGATGTAACGTGTGAGATTCAGTTTGGATGCTTAAAACACTAGGTTAGAAAAGGCCTTTACCTAGGAGAGGGGCATGCCAATACCCGACAGTTAAGTACCCACCTAAACAGTTATTCTATGGAGCTGAAGATGATACTGGATATTTGGAGACAGGTGGAAGGTGTCTCTGAGGAGAAAGAAGAGATATAACTGCCTAAAATTTGTGGCTGTGGGGCAGTAGGTACAATGACAAAAAGTCTTCTGGAAAAGAGGACCTTCAGAGATGCATTTCTTTTCAGAAAAATCACTTGCCATTGATCACAAATATGTAACTGAATTCCAATGAACGATGCAGGTGGCAGCCATTTCCTATCAGCCATTTCCTAACAATGCAGGTGGCAGCCTATCTCATTATGAGCATCGCAGAGCAGAGCGGGTTGTAGGTGGGTGGAAGGTGTTCTGTCGCCTCTGTTGGACATTTCTGTGTATCAGTATCTGGAGAAATCTCTCCTACTTCTTGCATTGCTGATATGGCTCCACCACTGACTTTTTGTATAAATGTGCTGCTGTAGCTAAGCATGTTTTTCATTCTTAATGATATGCCCACAGGAAACTATTTTTTACTAGCATCCCCACTGTTTATTACTATTGCTGCTACACTTCAGCAGTGGGGTATCCAACCCAAATTTGCTAATGTAGCTTTGTCAACACTTCTTTGATTTATGCAGTGTTTCACTAGCCCTACATGCACAATCCCCTTTTTGGAATGGTCCTTCAATAAAACTGCTCACTGGCCTGGGTTCCAGAGCTGGTGAATTGCAAAATCTGGTGGACATTTTGTAAAGAAATTAAGAGACTTTGAAAATGTAAAAATAATTATCAGCGATGCACCTAATATAAAAACGGAGAGTGGTGTCTGGTTGTTTGTTCCTAGCAAGCCTTTGTGCAAGTGTGTGCCAGGATGCGGCACTTGTGGGGAGAAACAAGTCAGTTGGTTACGTAGTACATTACACATAATGAAAAGGCATCTGTCTGTCGCCCTCCCCCCCGTCCCCCCGTCCCCACATGGTTGTCTGTCTTATAAATTTAGTGGCAGGCTACACGGAGAAATAAACGAAGCACCCTTACCTACAGATAGTTGCAGGTCATTTTCTTAGCCAATGCACCGTCATCCAGTTGCAACTTTAAGAAAGGAAATGGAAAACATGTAATGGGTATATATCTGAAGGCTACCACTCTCCTTTTGCCTGAAGCAACAGAGAGCAAGCACGGAGGAAAACACATTGAAACCACTTCCTGCTTAAGGGAGTTCAACACTCCCACAGAAAGTCATACATGCAGTTTTGCATACTGAAAGCACACTATTACCAGAAAATGTTCTAGCATGAAAGTGTCGTAGAATTAAAGTGACTCCATAGTGTTGGAGGACAAGCACTATAGTTTAAAAGGAAATACAATGAGGAATTAACATAGTTGATGTTTGAACTAACTTCCCTTTCCTCTCCTGTTTTAGAAAATAAAAGTGTTGCAGAAAGTTTCTTTGGTATGCTGGGGGCAGATACTTGGTTCAGTTAGCTTTTACCATCTATTTATTTATTTACATATAACTTAAACTTTGCAAGTAGTTTATGTTTGTATACAAAACTAAGATGTTGGTTTTGCATTTCAGGGAAGCTTAATTTGCAACTGTTAATGATTCTGCTCAATCAATTTTCTATTTGAAAATCCATGAAAGATCTTAACTCCAGGTCCATCCCCTGGTCCCTTTAACAATTTCCTATAGTGAAGGTATATACCACATTCATGACAATGCAGGGAAAATGCCTCATGGCTTGTATCCATAGTCTGCAGTAGTTCTCTTTGTGATGGCCTCCTTTCACTGCTGCAGCAAGCAAACACAAGCTTACTCAAAAAAATATTGAGGCATAGGTGTAGGGGCTGTTTATGCAAGCACACCATCATCGGATGGGTAGGTGCGTTCTGCGCAGGCCGTTCCGTCCTCACACCACATACTTCCCTCAGCTGGGAAGCAGTACATTGCAAGGTAGCGGTCCCAGTCATGCCACACAAGCCAAGACTGGTAGCACACTTTTCCCACCTCTGGTAGAGCAATTGGCATGGAAAGTTTCTGCTTTGCAGCAGTCCTGGGGCATCTGCCTATAGCCTCTATGACTGTCATTCTAGAAATTAAGAATCTGAAACATTTGGCTTATTTCAGGGATGGGGAAGCTCTGGTCCATGATTCCAAACCTGCTTACCAGTTGTCCTAATTGGCCTGCCTGTCTTCTCCTGAGGCCTCTGCTCCTTCCTTTACCTCTTGTTCCCCACAAGAAAGACAAAGTACCATTTGGAGCTACTGCCACAAAGTGTCTGGAATGCATTTTCCAAGCCTCAACAGGGCTACTATTGAGAAACAGAAGGATCAAATTATGCTGGTCCACTAGGGTGCTGGTAGCCCTTGAGGTGGCAGCCTTTCAGAGTTCTGTTCACCTCTCATCTTTTTATTTATTTATTTAGACAACTTATATGCCACCCCATCGCATGAGCCTCGGGGCGGCTTACAATCATTAAAATCCCATATAAAATGCAAAAAAAATCAAATAAATAAAATACACAAAATAAAATAGTGGAAACAGCCTGGTCAATTTAAAATCAACAACTATTAACAGTTAAAATAGCGTTTAAATAAAAAGGTCTTGGCCTGGCGCCGAAAAACAAATGACGGCACCAGGCAGACCTCTCTGGGGAACTTTTCACCAGGAAAGTTGAGGACTGAACAGAACTGGCTTTCTGGGGAATCATCGTGTTGAGGCACTGTGAGTGCCCCATAACAGCAGTTCCCAGCACTCCTGATCAGCCTTATCAAAGGATCTCTTTGACCCCCACTTTTGCCCTGGGCTTTGCTCAGACCTAATCTCTGTCATCTTTCCTTCCCAACCGTCACTCTTTCCTCCCTCACTGCCCAGTGTGTGTGTGTGCATGAATTGTGTGTCAGTGCATACATCCAGGGCATAGGAGGAGGAGTACATGCAGTTCCATCCATTTTAGCCTGCCTCTGGGTACTTCTCAATGCTTTAAATTTAAATTACCCATAGTATAGATGTTGAAAACCCCAAAGCTTCTCAGCAGAGCACACATTCAAGATAGTTTGCTGCTTGAGTAGGAGCAAATTTGAAAATCACCCCCATTTTCCTTTGCATGATGAATTAAAGCCCACATGTTACTATTGCATGTTACTATCTTAAATGTTTTTTCACTGAATTTATATTACAACATGCTACAGGTTTTTTCCCATTAGTTTTAACTTATAGAAGAGCCCTGCTGGATCAGAGCGAAGTCCATCAACTCCATTTTGCCGACCCTCCCACCCCGCCCCGGCTACCCAAAAGAAGCCCAAAAGCAGGACAGGAGTGAGTCAACAACATCCTACCACCCATCTTCCCCAAACGGAGCACATACTGCCTCTAACCCTGGAGTCTGCTTCTCTGTTTGTCCAATTCCTCTTTAAAACCATCTAAACTGTGGGCCCTCACTATATCCTATGAAAGTGAATTCCTTGATTCAGCTATGCACTATGTAAGGAACTGCTCCCTTTTGCCTGTCCTTAATCTTATACCAGCCTGCTTCATGGGCTGACCTGGGTTCCAGCATTATCCTGAGCAGGAAGAAAAAAGGTCTCCCTATCTACACTGTGCATAATGTCAGAGTCTCCTTTTCTAAGTTAACTAAGCAAGCAGGGCCTGAGCATTGCAGTAAGCTTCTTACCACTAAATGTTGTGTAAAGTGCTTGCAGATGTTAATATGTTAAATAGTATGCCAGTATTGTAAACAAATACCACAGGAGACATATGAAAACAATAACATACACAATGTGTTCATCCACAATCAGTGCAGGCCGTCTGGTCTTGGCAGGCCCTCAGGCATCCTCAGGGTGGCCCATCCGTTGTGAGGACATTTTCTCACTGCCATTTCCCCCAGCTGCTCCTGCTTTCACCCTCTCTCATATCCCCCTGCGGCCACCTGCATTGACTGCTGCTCCTCACCATCGCCCTTTTCTGGGCCGGAGGAGGAGGAAGCAGAACAAACAGGTATTTAGCAGTGAAGAGGAAGAGTGACTATCGTGTCTCTTGCCAGTGGAGCCCTGCTGGGGTATGGCCTTGGTAAGTGTCCAACGATGCTTACTCAGGCCCTGTTCACAATATACCCAAATCCTGCTCCTCTGCCCCAAATGAACACACAAAACAACCCTGGTGGTAAATAGTGAAAGGCCTCAAAAATAAATAAATGCTTCTTTGATGTCAAATGAGTACAGGCTCAGTACCAAGGGAACTTCCTTGGAAAGAATGCTCCCTATACTTGGAGCTACCAAAGAAAAGGCCTGCTTGGAGAGACTATGCACAAGCTTCTCTGGGATGGCCTACGCAGCAGGGCCTCTGAAGCTTCCCTCAGGGGCTGGAAATGGTCATACAGGGAGAAGCAGTATTGGGATCCCAAGCCATGTAGGGTTTATATATGTTTTTGTAGAATCAATTCACAGTGATTCATGGAAACTTAGAAACTGAGCCTCCTGGGCCATCTAGTCTGACCCCCAGCTCCAGCTGGCTCCACTCATGATACAGCAAGCTGAGTTTATATCACAGGGACTGCTGACACAGAGACATGTTGGCAGCCATTAGATGAGAGACTCTGAACCTAAAAGAGGAATAGGAATGTACAGTGCTTTTTTTGTAAAAAAAAAAAAAAAGGTGCCAGAACTCACGTCTTGGGGTCACACTTTTACACAATGGTCGCCGCCGGCAGTAAGCACTCAGCGCATGACCACACGACCGATCCCAAGCTGAGCAGCGTCTGAAGCCGAGCAGCGCCCTCACAATCAGCGCCGACAATCAGTGCCACGCCGACACACAAGCAGTCCACAGGCACTATGTTAATGATTTCGGCCACCAATCTGCTATTCCCAACAGGGCGACTCATAATCACTTGGAAAAATCCATCAAAAGAAGGTGCCGGAACGCTGTTCCGGTGCGTTCTATGACCAAAAAAAAAAAAAAAAGCCCTGAGAATGTAGGGATATACGGAGCCTGTGAGGAGTCAAGGAATAAAAAGAATCACAACCCCATGCTCAAAAATGTTGCAGTGAATGCAACACTTATGTGGAAAGAACTAACTGAAAAATAGACAGAAATATAGGTAGCCTAATATATGTAAAATAATGATATAATAACAGCAGCTATATGCAGAAAAAGTTACAAGTCACAGCATTTGATAGTCAGCCACAGTGGTTAAGATATGGTAGGAGTTGTAGGACTTTTTTCTTTTTAAACATACATATACAACTGCACTTTGATTTGATAAAATATACAAATAGAGGTGCAGTACTTTTTAGTTAATCCTATGAACAACTGGGCTTCTTCATGTTTTGCTTTCTATAGCCACAAGCCCAAGCACTAGAGATTTACCTCTTTAATGAAAGCTTAACAATCAGGGAGGAACTGGAATATCTCTGGCAAAGAGATGGAAACAGGCCCACATGTAGGACACTTGTACACAGTGCCCTGATCAAACAGTATTTAGAAAATGAGAACCATAGACTGCAGGGAGCAGTGGTTATGGAAGCTAGCCTGAAACACAGAACATCCTTGTCTCCTTTTTTGTATCTCTGCCCTGTCTCTCTTTCTGTTTGCTTCTCTGTTGACCTCTGGAAAACCTTGGAAGACTACTCTTAAGGCATTCTGAAAGGGAAAATCATCTATAAATAAAATAAGAGTATGAGCTTCAGCTAATCGGATAGATTCATATGACTAGAAGGTGGAGTGGAAAGCTAAGATTTGAAACAAGTAGCCAGATATTTTAGTGATGGGCCTCTAGTTTTGTTGTAAATTTGTAACATGCCCTAAATCTTTGGGACTGCGATCCAATTCAATAGATAACAATATAATGGTCCAAAGAGGTCCATGAAGAAGGTTGGGTATGTTATCAAAAGAAGGGCAGTTTCTTCCTTTCTAAAATGCTTGTGCAAACTGCCTGCAATACTGCTTCCTCTTGTCATAGATGGTACCCATTTGCTATAAAAGGTAGTTATTTTACATATTGCTTAAACATGAGTCTCTCTAACTTCCTGTCTAAAAATATCTGAAATTTCGATATGAATGTGACATGACAGAAACTGAAAGCTCCATCAATTTAAAAGGCTCACATATCATGTAAGTGTACATATTACCACAAGGTTGCAATCTTGTATACAGCAGAAAACGAGTATCA